CCTCGCTCTGAAGGACCCGAGATGAATCTCTTCAGTACTTTGTAGCACTTTCTGAACTCCTTGAACTCCGAGTAGGTCACTACACACAGTCTGAAACATTTTTCTAGACTAGGGCCTTGGTTGTGTTATACTTCTCTTACAACACTGTTTAGAAGGACTGCAATAGTGTAAAGGTAATCTTCAAAGAAAAAACAGCCCCTCCCCAACCTGGCCATTGCTGTATCACCTTCCCCTCAGTTTAGTTTGATACTCTTGGCAAGTTGAAAGTGCAATTTTGCTTTCTCTACTTGCAGAAGAAACAGTCATAGCATCAAATTTTGCCAAAGATGTTGCATGATGTCTTTTTTAAACAAAAAAACACTTGAAAATTCAGATGTTCTGAAAATAGCTTTTCTGTCTCATGTTTAGTGTCTTTATATTCATGTTAAATAGTGTGGTGAGCTATACAGTGATTCTTAGCTCTTCTGTCAAGAGTGATCATACTTGCTCCTTTGCATTTCTCATTGCCAGTCCTTCTTAATCAACGTTGTAGCTGAAAACTCTATAGAGGTTTTATGAATCATTTGCATTCTACTTATCATGCTTTGCAAACTAGAGCAAGGGAAAAAGTGGCATAATAGTTAAGGAGTTAATAGTTGCTGTTTTCTATGTATTAGACATTATCATATTAATTTTAAGTATTCCTAAGCCTAGACGTATTGTCAACAGGCATATTGCCAAAACTAATTTCACTTTTCATTCTATTTATTTCCTTTTAGGCTTTATATTAGTACAGTTATATTGTGTATCCTGAATGTTTATTTTGAAAATAGTGTTCATACCATGTAGGGTGATCTGTAATCAGTTTTATAATAACTACTGTTGATCACTGTATTTTATTTGGTATAGTCTTGATGATTTTTATTTATAATTATTTCTATTATATTACACTGCACTCAGCTATAGTAATCAACTATTAATGAAGTAAACTTTTAGAGTGTAATGGAACTGAGAGTCTAAAGTGTGTAAGAGATTTATTAAATGTACTTAAGTGGGGCTAGGTCCCTTGCCAAAGGTCACAGGAAGAATTTACGACTAAAGGAGTATAACGTATTTTCATTTATATCCAGTTCTTGTGCTTGAATTATACAACCACATTTCATGTATATTTTCTACTGTTTCCCATGTATTCCAGAATTTCTCTAGAAATTGAGTTATCAAATACCACTTCTAGACGTTGGGCCTCTGTTACAAGAAAACAGTCCAATCAGTGTTTTGTTGTTGAAGTGTTGGTGTTTATACTTTAATACCACACTTATCTTTACAAACTGTTCTATTTTTCAGTATTTCTGCTTTTTCCTTGTGTATGTTTTAATCACTTTTTTCTGTAAACATGAGATAATCTATTTGTTTAAAGCCTAGTTTAACACTCTTAACTAATTATAATTTGGGTTGCTATTTACAATTATACTGTATTTGAGTGAATTAGTGGCTCACCCTTTTATTTAGCTCAGTGTGGTGTATTTGGACATATTTTTTTATTAAATAAGATATTAGATCACCATAAATTGGAAGAATGTAGGATAGTTTCATTGCTTGAAATCAGTGAGAGGATAAATAGGAGCATAAAACTTCCTAGAAGTTCGTATTATCCAGGCAGGCTTTTTTTCATGCTGTATTTGGGGGGAAAAAAAGTGGACATGTGCAGAAACTGTGAGTACAATTAGCGTCAAGCAGATAAATCCAACTCTAATCCTGTTTATGCTCTACATGAGACAGATGTGCTGAGATTGATTTAGACAAGCTCTTGGCTTATAGTAATTTATTTTTAAGTACCATATATTCTGTTTTTGTTAGGTCTTTGTTAAATGTTAAGTGCTGTTAGTTGTACTTTTCCTAACGCCTGTAACCTACTTTGTACAGGTTCCCTCTCTGCTCTCATGATGACACAGGGCAGCCTGGTAGAAGAGATTATCTTTATTCCTTGTAATTAAATTGACTTTTTTTTTCCAGAAGATACAACAATGGGAAGTGGGTACCGAATTAAATAAATAGCATGATATCTAATAGATGTATACTTAAATCTCTTGCAAGAACAGATGGTACCCAATATCTTTCTAAGTAATGTGAGAGGACAGTTAATGTCCTGAAACAGCTAGCAATAACCAATATGATGGTAACAAACCAGTAGGGCTTTTTTTTGAAGTTTAAAAAAGTGTCTAATCCAATATATACTTTATTTTTAAAGTAAACTTGATTGTTATCGCATACTAGAAATATTTTATAAATGCAGCTCATTAGTTAAATGTTCTTTATCTGAATTGCTTTATAAAATTTTACTGCATTTGTGATGTTATTATTTTCAGTAAAAATAGAAGATGAAAATTATACAATATGCCTAGGGACTTTTATGCATATTTCTTTTCAAGTTTAGTAAAAATAGGCTGTCCTAATCCTACCAGCTAGTTGAGTATTTCCTCTGCAATTTAAAACTTGAAGATGATGCTTTTTGTATGATTCAGTATTCCTACAGTTTATATGGTTTTCCAAGCTGTAATTGAAAATGTATACCAGTAGAAAAACTAGAGTCAAATACTATCTTTGAAAGTGCGGTGCAGCTTAGTGAAAATATATTATTTTAATTTGCAAAAGTTTTGATGTGCATCTGAGCAATGCAAGAATTTGACAAATACAGATTAAGAGGAAGATGTAAAAGCAAATAAAAATCTGGCTGAAATAGTAATATGAAAAGAAAAGACAAGCCTAGCCTTGTCTGCCTTATGACTAAATGTCATTTTGTGAAAGCTAGTAGAGGGGAATAAAAAGTATTCTAACAGGCCTTCATTGCACTTGATTTGTGCAGGACTAATACACTAATGTTTGTAGTTTATTTGTGATGTATATGCATAACATCAGCATAACAGAGTTTGTGATATTCCCAGCAAAACTAATGGTTTAATCCAATATGTTGTTTGTTTAAAAATATTTAAAAAGCAAACACATTTAGCATATTTGTATTGCTCTGGGGGCAGAAATGGTGCAGCTTGGTTGTTGCTGCAGAACAGTTGTGGTTATGTTTCATAAGTCTTTATGTTTACCAATTTTCATAAAATGTTGAGTTTCCGTGCTGGAATTTTCAGTGTTCTGTATGTCTGCCAGAGAGACTTTCTGGAAAAAGATAGGCAGACTCCCTCAAAAATGCTGGTTTTAAAATTAAAACAAGTTTTAAATAATGGTAATAAAGTATGTAGTTCTATGTAAGTGATTCAGGATATCGCAAGTAAGTGTTTAATTTAAGGCCTACAAAGACTATTTACCTGCAAATGTTTTAGAAAAGCAATACAAAGTTTGAGGAGGAAAAAAAAACAACAAGATCTTGGATTTGGTATTGTTAATAATAAATTTGCTTGTACAATGTCCGTTCACTCTTTGAGTATATGCAAAACTATGGTTCAGATGGATTAATACAATTTTATTTTTTTGCCTCTCAGTCCCTTGGTTTCATTCAATGTATCTTACAGAAAATACTTTTCCTGCAGTCATTATGGTACTTTAAGCTATGTTTTGTTTTTTATTGTTTGGGGAGTTGCCTTCTGTTTATATGCTTTGTCCTTCTGAAAATCTGCACTACAGACAATTTCCTGTGTACTATCTCAGTGCACACAAACATTTACGTGTCACAGTATCCCTGCTAAGTATGGAATTATTTTAGTCCAATTTTACACCATAGTAGCTGACATATGGAGAAATTAAGATGATAAAATGTAACAAGTTGGAAAAGTGTCACTTCTATGTCTATAGTAAGTTGTTAGGGAATTGCTGGGAGAGATAATAGTGAGCTGAGCTTTAGCTGTGTTAGCATTGCTGAGGTGCAGTCCTCCAGCATTTCTGGATAGAAAGATTATCACTGCGTAGTCTGGTTCACGAAATGATGTTGGGAAATGCCAGCATCAAACAGTTATAAGAATTGATGCAGGCTTCTTTTTCCTGCTCGGAAATTACAACTTTCTGAAGCCCTCAGCTTCATGTTGTTTATTGAAATAGGGGACACTTGATTTTGCAGTCTCACACCTGCAGTGTTGTCCATCTTCTCCAGGAAGACAGTTAAAATAGAGTTTTGCAGCTTCTCCCTGGCACTTTGGTACAGCATGCACCAAATATTCATCAAACAGAATCTGGTACAGCTTTTCCTATTGAGAAACCATTTAACTGAGCTAAATTTGGAAAAGGTTTCTGGTTTCTAGTTTTTATTGTCTTGGGCTGCACAGGGACCTTTATTGGTCTTGCATATTGGATCTGCTGTAATTATAAAGCAAGCGTGGAAACTTTCCTCTTCATGTCTGGAGTATCTGACACCTACAGGAACAGTTAAATTTTTTCCTTCGCTCTGTGTATTTAACTTTGTTTTTGAGGAATCAGGTGTTTTGCAGCTCAAGAGAGCAGAGAAAGGAGACGTCTGTACCACAGTGGTTCAGCTGATACATCTCCAAAAGGCATTTGGAACTAGTGTCACTGAAGTGGTAGTGTCTGCAGCCACAGGATCCGTGTATGTAACTGCCCCAAGATAAGAAAACCTTCACCTTCACTTAGTGCTCCAGGCTAATGCAAGCCTCCCTTGGGGTGAGGGTCTTTAACTGTGACAAGAACTTTAGAAACCGGCGTTTTGATCTTTTGCTTTTTGAGTGCACGCGCGCACACACACACACACACACACAAACACACACAGAGAAAGATGATTCACTGTTCATGGAGCCTGCGATTTTACTTGTTTGTTTTTTTTATTATCAGAACAGGGATTAAATATCCTCTTTGAAACCATGCTATTTGTATAGCTGGATATGTAATGTGAATAACAGAGAGTTGGTAAAATACAAGACTGGTGACTGTAGCAAATGATATGCAATGTCGCAATATAGGCATCAGTGGATGCAACAAGTGAAGCTACAGGTGAAGCCATAGCAATATTTTTTATGTATTACTCCTAATCATGTTGATAACACTTTTTTTTTTTCCCCCTACAGGTGACTCCAGTGTGATTTTACAGGTTCAAGAGGAGATTATTGAAATGAAAGATGTCTTTTCAGTAAAACTAAAACGTCGACGTTTTGCAGGACAGAAAAAAGGTGGTACTTTGTTGGGTATCACAATTTTTAAATGCTTGAATAAAGAAGAAAATAAACTGACAGACTGTGCAATCCATTTAAATAACTTAAGTGAAGATCATTGCCATTCATGGTTTAGACATCTAAAGGAAATTTTGAATGGTAAGCACTTAATAGGGGTTGATGGCATTATTATTTCAGACTTGTTTCTATTGGCAATATGTAAAGTTGAGTGAAACTTAGAAGAATATTTTGCTTCTGGAAATCAACACACAAAGATATGAATGCCATTGCTGGAAACGTTTGTTTACTACTGAAACTTTACATTATGAAGTATAAAATTTAGGGAAGTGACAAAAATTGACTAGTATATCTGTAAAAATTAAACAAATTAATACTACTTTTTTCAAGTGTTTGCAAGTAAGTAGCTTACTGTATTCTGACTGAAGAGTCTTCTGGGAAATCTGTTTCTTAAAGAAATAAAATCTATTGTTGATGTTTTCACTTGAAATTGCAGCACATCTGGTGATACTACAGTTGTTGCAGTCCTAGGAACCCTTCAGGGACTTCCCAGTGACTGTTTAGTAGCTTGCACTTGAGACCCACAGACTCTCTGAGAGACTAATGGGAGAGGCTTTCCTCTTCATAAATTCACAGGTGGAAGGGCATTTAAGGTTCTGTAGGACTCTTCCTGTATAATTTGATACAAAATGTATTGACACTAGCTCGTGATAAGAGGCAGTTCTTTATTTTAAAAATATCTTTCTGTGTTTGACTGGGCTACTGCCAATTTCAGGATGCTTTGTTTAACCCATGATAGTGCAATTTTTCATGGAAGCTCTATCAAATTTAAGAAAAAAATATTCACCATTTAGGGAAAAGAACCCCAGCGTACCAATGCCACTCACTGTAATTTAATACCATCAGTGTTGGAAAGACACCAAATATAGCAAACGTGATTTAAAAAACACAAAACAACAAGAAACCAGACTCTCTGATTTAGCTCCAAAATGTGTCTGTATTTACAGGCTATAGCAAATGAGTTTATTACAGAATATATTACTACATCTTGTAGTAGGCTATTAAAACTCCAGCTGAATTGTTAATACTGAGCTAGGTTACAGAATTCAAATCTTACATATCTGTAGCATTTGTAACAACACTTTCAGTAGTGGTTTATAGTATACTTCTAGTAAAGTGACTTTCTCAAAAGCAGATATTAGAGAAAATAAAATAACATTCATTATTAATGGTGTATTCTTACATTATTTTATGACAAAATACTTTGGATTTTCCATCTAAAAATGTGTATTAAAAAGTGCCTTCCCTTGCCCCTTTTTGGAAGACTGTATCACAAAATATCTAAATCTGCAGAAGTGCCAAGATTCTTGCAGATCTCTAGCTACCCGTAAAGACAAGGACATTTGCATAAGGAGCAAATGTCTGTTTTGTTCCCAGATTCCCCTCCATCCATCAAAAGCATTGATATCATATGTTCACGGGGAAAGAAAAAAAGCTGTAGTATCTCTTGCTTAGGTTGCCTTGACTTCGAAGTGAAGTCTCCGTTTTATAGCTTTGTAATTGAAAGCCACCTGAACCTGAAAAAAGCATTCTGTGCAATGTTGCTGTTCCTGGTTTTTCCTTCAGCTTTAGTCTTTCTCCAGAAGCTCAAACCTTGTGCAGATTTTTCTTGATCTGTAATCAGTAAATTTTTCTCCTTTTACTTCAGGAGTAATCAGGACTCAGAGGGGCAGGGGAAACAACCAACAACAAAAAAACCCCCAAACACAATCCCCCAAATATAACTTACTAATATGTATATTGTTTTAAGTTCTGTAATTACAATAAAAGTAATCTTCACACTGATAACATTTTGAAATCTGAGTCGATATTCAAACTGCTTTTTTATCCAGAAAATAAGCAAAAAAGCAGCAGCATTTCTTTATTCAGTGTGGCAGAGACATGTTATCAGTAATTGAAACAGTGGTGGTATAGTGGTGTCTGATGGTATAATTGAGAAAAAAAAGTCTTCTGATTTAAAATGTACCAGCCATTGATAGGAAGTTCCCAGTGGGATTCAAGTCTGGACTAAAAGTACAAAATTCAGATCTGTTGCTACCTCACTAACTGAACTCTCAAAAGGCACACTGATATATCTCCACTTGAAACAGTGATGAATTTTTATAGTTTTTTAATAGTTTTTATGGTTTTTACTGCAGCTTGTTTTCATAACAGTGCATCTTTGGACTCAAACTGAGTCCTTTTTGGTTTCCTTATGAACTGCAAGATAAAGTTAAAATTCCATCCTGCATGTATTTTTTTCTAATCTATCTGATCACAAAGTAAATTTTCATTAACTATTGCATTGTTTACTTGCAGGTTTTTTATTGCTTCTAGGCTGGAGCAAATTAAAAGCAGATGATTTACCAAAGTAGAGTGTATGTATGTTTGGGTATGGCTGTCAGTAAACATGTACTTTCGTTTGATAGAATGGCTAATGTTGCATCTTTTTTTTTCCTGTTCATTCTTACTGTCTTCACAGTGAGTATTTTCTGTTGCTCTGAATTTGTGTTCAGACTACTTCAATTTGAAGTCTAATTGGGCTATATTTTTTTAATGAAGCTTGTCATATAAGTGAGCGCACAGATATAACATAGTTGTTTAGAATTTAGTTACATGGGCTGCTATTATGGCTTTGTGTGCGTGACAAGATAACAGAGCACATATATGACCATCTTCCTACTTTTAAATAAGTTCTTTTCTGCATCATGTTGCTGCTGTTCAGATGCATGCCACCTAGGTAGGAAGAGCTTGCTTAATGATATAGTCTTCAGGAAAACTTCAGTAGCAGCTTAGATTCCCCAGTAGTGTGCTGCTAGTGATCTCACTTCAGACCTGTGGTACACCTGACTCCCAGTGAGTTGCATTTGTACATTGCATCTTTTTGTACTGGACTTATGGGCACATACAGTGAACATATACTGTGTTAGTGGAATTCACTGTTTAATTTAAAATCCTCTGTGCATGCAAATGGCCAGTGTTTCTTAAAGGGCTAAGACGGGCCCAGAAATGGGAGAAAAATGCATAGTTATCAATGTTTTTCCAGAGTTTTTAAGCTTTTCAGTAAGCTAAGTCTTATTAACAGTTGATTTGGAAACTTTTTACTTAAAAACACTGTAAACTAACAGAAGGCAGTAAATATGCTTAAGAATAAATGATAAAGTAGCGAAAAATGCATTAAGTGCATTTTGTTTTTATCTACTATTCTGTAGTATCTCTTACACTGGGATTTGATATGAATGTCTGAAACTTCATGCATGAATGTTAAACATTAACTTTGGTTAGTTAATATTAACGGTGGTGTCTCCATAGTTACATTAACAAATCTGTCTCATATTATTAGTTTTCCTCATGTATAATATTCTTAGTGTTGTATAAAGTATTTATAAGTGTATGCAGTAATGACATGATTTCAGGCTCTTAACTTTTGTAACATAAACCCATTTTCATAAAGCTAAGACCTGAAAGCAGCACAGATGTATGTCTGAGCATAGCGTCTCTGCTGCCCTATGAGCCTTTGTTTTCAGAACACCCTGATTGACCCACCACCCTTCATGGTTCACTGATTCACTTGATAGATCAAGTTTAAACTAGTGCATATTAGCACATTTGTTAGTACTAGAGGAACAGTTGGCCTTCCTGCTTTAGGCTGCTGGTTCATTTCAGATGGAGCAGCCACAGAAGACAATAACAGAACACCAGTTAGGAGAGCACCAAAAGGCTGACAGACTGAAATCAGTTGCAGACTGTAGTTAAATGAGTTTGATTCATTCTTATAGATGTTGTTTAAAGAAAATTAAAAGACACTTATTCATTAAAAAAGCTTTTAAAGAGGTTGTGGTATATAACTGCAGGAAAATTTCATCTTTATTACTGGATATTCTTTCATTAAGATCAGTTGTTTGATGTGTTTGTTGTTTGATGCTCTGTGCATGCTGGGAATGATAAATTATAATTTTTGTTGTATCGGTTGAGAATCGTTTGGCACAAACAAAACCACAGCAGTAATGTACCGTATCTCTGCTCAAATCCTTTGTTTGTAATACCTATTTCTATAACTAAAATAGCTTACCTTTCTTAAAAAGTAAATTGATATTCAAGTAGTCATGAAGACTTTTATCCTGTGAATTCATTTGGTTGTGAAAATCTCACTAGCATTTGTGTTAACTATGATCTACTTTTCAATGATAGCCTAATATATATAATCATAAATACAGTTCCCGCTTGAGAATCAATTAATTAATTAAGTTTTTATCTTTTATTTTAAAAGAAACAAAAATTCAATTAAGTTTTCTTAAAATGCTAAGATTTTTTTTTTTTCCCACCAATTGAAAAGTCTGTATTGCTTTGCCTGCTTATATTTTCTTTTTTAAATTGCTACCTGGAACTAAACTGTTGAGTTTTATATGTCATTGTTTGCTTTTTTAACTTCAGCTTTCTCCTAATGGTGGTTTAACAGTAACAGAAAATGAATTGTGACTTGTACCTGGGTAACAGAATTTATGACACTTCGTCATGTTTTTCTACTTCTACAAACCCTGTACTCATCTTCTTTTTCCCTCTGCTTTGTGTATTATAAGTGTGTGTGTGTATGTATATAATGTTTAAAGATATACTTTGCTCACTAATTAAAGACTGTGTAGTCAGCTTTTACTGTTCTCTGGCTCTGAGTGTTGGTGGGGGTTGAGCATTTAAAGCCAGCTGATCACAGGTAGGAGTTCCTGTATAGATAAGCAGCATGACAGCACATTCATGAGTCTCTTCTCTATTAAATCAGGAGTTCTTATTCTTATAGTTTTCCATTTAATATCTATTGATACTTTAGGGAAAATATCAAGCCACAAAAATTGTTTTTTTTTGTCTTAATATTTTTATAACTTCTAAAAGACTGCAATAATACCCTAGCAGATTTCCAGCAAGTGTCATCAATAACAATTATTATGTCTTTATGATGGCAGTGATTTGTATGTTTTAATAGTCTTTAGGAACGTTTGTGTTCTAAGTAGTCTTTCTTATTTATGTTCTAATTACTATGATTAGAAATTGTTACAGTACATACCTGCAGTGCTTGTTTCTGTTTCCAGAGAATCAAGAATAATTTAGGTTGGAATGGACCTCTGGAGATTATCTATTCCAGCCTCCTGCTCAGAGCAGGTGAGCTGGTTGCTAGGAGCCATGTCCAGATAAGTTTTGAAAATCTCTAAGAACGGACATTGCACAGCCTCTCTGAGCAGTGTGATCCATAGCTTAACCACCCTCATTGTGAAGAGTGTTTTCCTTATTTCAGATTGGAATATACCCTGCTGAAACTTGTGTCCATTGCTTTTTGGTCCTTGCACCTGCAAGAAGTCAGTCTTGGTAGTCTTTGTTAGTCCCACAGTAGATACTAAGGCCAGCATTTAGGCAGGTAACTCTGGTCTGAAGGCTGCCTCTGTGTCTTGTGTGCGGCTTGTTCTAGTCCTCTTGCTGAAGTCACAGTTCTCTGTCGGGCTCACTCCACTTGATCAGTCTTATGCTGGGGAGCCTGAAAGTGGATGCAGTTTTTTGGGATTTAGACTGAAAGACTTTGAATACAAGGGCATAGTCACATCCTTTGAACTGCTGGTTGTTGTCTTGTAAATACAACACAGAGAGCAGTTGGCCTTCATGGCAGCAGTGACACACTGGTTACTCATGTTCAACTCCTTGTCCATCAGGAACTTCAGGATGCTCCCTAAAGAGCTCCTGCATAGTTTGTCACTCCCCAGCCTGCACTGTTAGGGTTCTGCTGTACCAGGTGCTGGACTTCCTGTTTGTTTTCATTGTATATCTTGAGGCTTTTGTCAAGCCTTTCTTGTAGTTAATCAAGGTCCTTCTGAAAGACAGCCTTGCCCTCCAGCATGTCTCCACTGTCCTCACCAAGTTCCTAATTTTCTTTTTGTCTCCTTTTAAAGGAGATACTTTTTAATACAGGTAATAAGACTTACTAGTGAAGGCGTTCAGGATTCATCAGGCATCAAGGATCCATCAGAATTAATTTGCTATGCAATTACATGGCATTGTGTGTAACATTTTGGCATAAATATAATTAGATATCTTGGGTTTTATTTTATTTATTTTTTTAAATTTATTACTTCTCAGTGTTGTTTTCTCAGAGCTCATTACTTCAAAGATCTAAATGTAACTTTCTTAAAAATAAAATGAACAATAATTCTCAGGTTTCTGAATCATGTAACCAAATTTTCTGTTTCTTTGTATTTCTTCTGATCTCTTTCAAGATGAGGGAATTTCCTTTGCACTGTTTGATTTGCAGTCTCAGAAAACAAAAGTATTAGATTGTAATATCAGTTTTCTTGGGTGTTATTGTCACATGCCTACTGGGATTGTTTCATATTAAATTCCAAAAAGGATATGTTTTCATGTTTTTTGCCACCCTATCTCATAACTTCTCCAAATTTACCCTGCTCCTGTATCAGAGTTTAACTAGGTTATTATGTATACTTCATTTTTCCTGGTTCCTACAATGTTTTTGTTAGTATGTGATTTCTACTCTTTATTAGCTGTATGTACAAAAGTAATCAGTACTGTAATTTTAAGATAAGTAGCACATATTCAAGAAGAAATTTAGACCTTTTTAGAGTCTAATTTACTTATCCTGTTAAAGTACTGTAATGGTTCTAATATTAAAAATTCATTGAAGCTGTAGAAATAGCTAGGCTGTGTGTAATCTTATGTGTTTTGTGCTTTCTTTTTAGGTTTTCAGAATAGACCAAAATCCTTAAAAGTGTTTGTTAATCCAAGCAGCCACAAAAGAGAAGCCACACATGTTTATTATGAACAAGTTGCACCTCTTTTTAAACTTGCTGACATCAAAACTGATGTCACAGGTAAGTTGCTTCAAAAGCCTAGTTTAATCCTTTGTGAAACTCGTATTTAAACATGCAAGACACTTTGAATTTACTGCTAATCCTCATTGGCTTTGCTTACAAGTAGTGTATTTGGACGTGTAGTTAATACAATGCAATGCATTTTTATTTCATCAAAAAATGTTTTAATAATTCTGTTATTATTTGATAGTTTTCCTCCTATAGCTATCAATAGTAGTAATGTATTTTTCATACTTTTTAAGCAAGGATTGTATAAAATGAAAGAAACATTTATTGTCTGACTGTCTTGCATGTGTGTGTTGTTCCTGCATTCTGCTAAACACACAAACCACATCTCTTGGCCTGACATCATAAGAGGGGCTTATCCAAAGGACACATAATTTCTGGATTCTGACTCAGTTTCAGGAATGACCAGGAAGCCTAAGTGATTAAGTTCTGTGATGACGAGGGCAGCAGGGGAGCTCTCATGAGGCATACAGGCACAGCTTGGTATTTGGAAAACCTGAAGATACAACTTTAATGTTGTAGTGACGCTGCCTTCTGTTCAACAGTGGGTTTGTCATAGCAGGTTTGGATTTAAGGCCTCAAATTCTGCCAGAGTTCTGCTTTATGTCATGAATTTGCCCTTTAGCTGTTTGATTTGATTGACCTTTATAAGAAAGTGAACAGGGGAAAAAACAGATTTTCTTAAAGTATTGAATCTGATCATTACTTCTGCCTCTTTCTGTTAAGAGACTGAAACTTATGCTGCATCCAAATTTGGTCTCCAAAACCACACACGTTTACAGAGACATTATGCTAGTATTTCCTGTTCCAAATAATTTTATATCCATAGTATTAAAATTCCCTTTAACATACTGCTATTTTTTGGGTATACACGTAATATCTACGTGAAGTGTAAGCTCTGATGCAAGATATGTTAATACCAAAAAGTCTTTTTCCTATGTCTGTTGAAATTGATTTGCAAAATAATCAGTTTAATCTTAAATTATAAGACAAAGGGCTCATCCTACAGTTGTCTCTTAAATTTATTGTGAAATCGTGGCCTTTTCAGGTTGCAGGCCACAAATCATTCTGAGCAAATCTGATTTAGACATAAGGATATAATAGTGCAGTAAGTGTTTGTATGCAAGATTTATCTTGCTAAAGTTATTACATCTATCTATGTAGTTTTAAACTATTTAGCCTACAATTTAAAGTGAAATCCATGGAAGATTAAACATGCATGAGAATGTCTGAAAAAATTCAGTCTTGGTTAGAATTGTGTAGTGATGATTTCTTGACTTTCCTTAATTGACAAGGGAATGCCAGCAGCTTTATGTAAGTTCTGATTCTTACAGACATAGACAGTAGTGTAACAGATTAATGATAATGCTGTCTACTTAGATATTGAACATAGCTTTGTTTGGTCATCATTTTTTTTAAAGGTTTTTTTTTTGTCATACAAACCTTAGTAAAGGATGACTGACTGCCATATTGTTAATTTACCTTTTGCTCTACTTTAATTAACTATTTAAAGAAAATGACTTTTTTTTATCTTCTTACTTCTGTTTAGTGTTTCATTTATCTTTACTGTGAACTTAACCTTGCTTGTTAAACTCTGTTTAAGGCAGCATTATCATTAACGTCTGTGAGATTAAATTTTTAGATATATAATGTCACCTGGAATCATGAAGTGGAACTAATAAGCCAAATTTGTATCAATAGTTTTTATAGATTAATTCGTAGAATTTAATAGAAGCTATGGTTATCATTTGTATTGGTTTAAAAAATAATGAAAAGTTTTTTATTATTATTTTTCTATAATTTTAAAAAGAAACTTCTGATTTTAACCAGGTAAATTTTTATTAGCTTATCCTTAAAATAAAGTTATTTTGGCAATGTTCAAATACTATTGTGCTTATTAGCTGCCTAACACTCCTCCTACAGGCAAAATAAGAAAACTACATCACAGTTTTAGATGCTAGTAGAGAAGTAAATAATTAAAAACTACGCATTTATAAAAGAACGGGAGAGGGAAGGCATTCTGAGTGAAAGTCCAGTCCATTGGTGCCATCATCTAATAAAACTGTCTCATTTCAAGTACATTGGACAGGATTTTTCCTCCCATAATTGTTTTGGATTTTGTGGTGTGTGCATCTCACTGTTACTGCTTTTATGAAACATGACCAGTATTTCCATGCATAGTGGCGTAAAAAGGTGTATTAGGTACTGAAAGTTGAAGACTTTTCTATAATTTTAACACTGAAGATACTTTACTTGTAGTCTTTTCACGTACACATATATAAAGATTAAAATTCATTGTACACAAAAATCTTAAAGCAAATTTGAATCTCTGAAGTGACTTCCATTCCATGCAAATACAGAACTTGCAGGTTGCTAAAAAAAAACCAAACCACAGTACAACACTTTGACAATGGAATGCTAAAAGACAGAGCTGCTCCCATCCAATTTTGTATTTTGGTAGCTGGCTGTTGCTATTTTGTGGTTTTGGCTCCTACACAAGCAAGGTTCCCCGAGCTTATTTTCCTTTGTAACTTCTGTAACTTCTGCTGGATAATTTTTATTTTTTCTTTTTAAGAAGTCTGGAGTAGAGGTACTCTCTCCTTTTCAAGGATATATATACGTGCCTTTTGGCTGATGTATAAAAAAGTGACTTCTGAAGTAGTAAATAATTGACTTCGCCAATTACCTTTAAATTTGGTTGGGTTTTCTTTTTTTGCCAAATTACTTTGCACATTACAGATTTATTAATTTCAGTAAAATTAACCACAGGGTTTAAAGTTTGGGTTGTGTTTTGTTGGCTTTCGGGGTTATTTTTGTTACATGGAAGTAAACAAATCTCTGAAGTGCTCAGCGTGGTAGAAAGTGGGAATTAGCAAATATAAACTGAAACAGTGCTTAAACTGTAGCTAAAGCTAAGCAATACTTAAAAGCCGGTCTTTGCCAAACTCCTAAAAGACTGTATAATGTTGAGTGCTGCAGCTGGGATGTGGCTGTTAGGAGAAGGGCTGTGACTCTGAAAAGTCCACTTCAACAAAAGCTTACTCGTTATTTGGGGTACCTAGAAGTACTGACAAATAGTGATAATTGGAGCTGGTATTTTAGAAATGTATTAGAATCTTGAAAAATCTTACACATGCTGAAGAAAAATAAATAAAGGTAATTCCAATGGGTTCCTAGTTTGTCTCATTTCTCTTCCTAGTTTTGACTCTTTTGCTTCAGTTTATACACACTTGGAAGCTGGATGTTTAGGCAAAAAAGTAGCCCCCCACTCATGCTTTTAGGCACAATCACCAAGGAACAGAGAGTGATTGAGAATCGGACAAATAGCATTAGTTTAAACTTACTATATAGTAAGTAACATTAATATTATTTTTTCCGCCAGTGTTAACACCAGTTAATCCATTGTTATCATGAGTGGTTTTAATCCTGTTAATATTAGTCTGTGACACAAGCGCCAGTATTTATACATGTCATATGGAAGTGTCCCACATTTTAAAATGTTGAAATAATTACATGTTGCTTGTTCTGTATATAGGGACTGAACCCTTAGTTTCTTGTTGTCTATGTGAGATAAGGTGTTATAGTGTTTTGAAGTATCTATGACTCTGCTCACAGTAGCTACCCTGGCAATGCCCTTCTTTCAGATTGCTGTTACTTGGGACTTGATGCATACTGAAAATTAGAAATTTGAAACAAGATGTGTTTGAAGGAGGAAAACTTTTTCAATTATGCATTGAAAATGGTTGGAAAAAAGCATTAAATAATATTTTTGCCAAATATATAACCTGAATACTTCTCAAACTGTGAAAGAAGCTCTTTCATCCTATTACTGAAATATGTTGTGTGGAGTTTGTTGTTGTTGTTTGGTATTTTTGAGGTGGATGGTGGTTGTTTGGTTTTTTTTCTTTCCCACTGAATTGGAACAGAACCAAATTTTCAAACATCTAGCTTTTTTCCAGGTATCAGCATGACTTTAATGTGTCTATCTGGAGGTTGCCAAGCCTCCAGAAAACTTTTTTAGATGTGATATTTTCATGTCTGTGTTTGAATTTTTTTTCAAGTTTTTTCTAGTTGGTCAGTTTTCTATATATTGTCATCAAATTTTTACTGGAAACTTTATTTTTTCGTTACCTTTTTGTCACAGTGTTTCAAAATGGATGCTGTGTACTTCTGTCATTCTCTCATCCAATTTTAATGCTTGGGATGGTTCCAGGAAATTTAAGCCTTGCAGTAGTCCTCCTGTGTCATTTCCAAACTTAAGCTATTAGATGCAAAGAGGATGGAGTCCCAATCAATGTGACTAACAGTAGTAATTTTTACTGCCTTTATTGTTGTCTGTGTAGACACGAGTCCTTTTTATTTTCATGTCCTTGTTCTTTGAATTAATTTTGTTATAATGAATATAAGCTACAAACATTACATTAGGAAACCACTGAGCATGTTTTCTTTAACAAAATAAAATCTTTTTTGCCATATCATTTTAATTAGACTATACTGGTAGCTTAATACATGTCATCATGTTCCTTTAAAAAGGCGTGAAACCTGGTAACTGACCGTATGTTTTCATGTGAAGAGTTTCTTTAACACTAAGGTAATGGTAAGATATTTGAATGTTTCTGCATTTTTGCATGATGCGCGATTTTGTTGATCACTTTTTTCACAATCTATGGATAATGATAAAAGAAAAGTACTTACTGATAAAAACAAAACTGAAAAGGATAGCTTGAATATTGTGCTCTGGTCTTCCAGAGGAGGTCGTGTGTGAAAAAAATTTCTGTAAGTAATTCCTGAAAGCTTTTATAGTAATAGGTATTTCTGTGGCAAAATTATAATTCTCTGCCTGTTCTATAATCAAAGTAACTCTAGTTTTTCATTAAGAATTCCAAAACACGAAGCAAACCAGAACTTTGGTAATGCTAGTTAGGTGATTTCGAAGTCATATGCTGATATACAATTGTTTAGTGTGAAGTGTAAACATTCTATAATTTTTATATTTTTAAAATTATATACACTTACTATAAATACACACATTCTTGTGTGTGTGTGTGTGTACAGGGCGAGGGAGAGTTGTTTTCAGTTCTTGTAAGCAGCATTTGAATAACCTGTAGAAATACTGTTATAACAGGTACAGATACAGAATGATTGTTTTAGACACCAAGACTAATAATTTTAAGTGTTTAGAAACACTGGAAAAAAGCCTTGAACTATGCTAGCACCAGGGACAGACAAGCATGAAAGATTAATGTAATTTTGCATATAATGATGCACATTCTTACACAAAAAATCCATCTGCAAGTGTCATGTCAGTCAGCAAAAATCAGTGATGGGTGGCTGCAGCTGGGGTGTCTCTTCTGGCAAAGCTAGCCTAGAAAATGCTAAATGTAGTTACAATGCTTTGTGCCATCTGTAGTATGCCAGTTTATCCTGTCTTCACTGGCATTTACGGTACTACGTAGGGTATCAGCAAACACAGACACCAATGTAGAGTGACAGATTCATATCCTCCAGAGGCTATGAACTCTAGTGCATACTTGTGCCACCTTCCTCTGTGTGTTATATTCTGTTGTCACTGGTATTTGGCTTGATTTCATACTTCTGTGTTTAACTCCTCATATTTTTGATTTAGCAACTTGCATATCCTAACACAAAGGCAATTAAATTTGATTGATACTGAAATAATTCAGTCTTAACTGAGGATATGCTTACATTTTCCTGAAGTTTACCAACTGTGTCAATGCTAAAACTTGCATTTTGATGCAACAAACAACTTCTCTAATTCTCTGAATTTAAATGCGCTAAATAGCTGTGTGTCTGATGGCAGCTGAGTTTTAATGTCTCACCTTTTAGCTAGTGTAACAGTAAAACATACTTTCTCATACATTTAATGATTTAAAAAAATCTGAACTGAATTACTCTATGTTACTTATGTCAGAAGTGCCAAAAAATAAAAAACCATTTAAATTATCTAATCCTTGGATAATTAAATAATATTATTTTCCACAGTAACTGAATATGAAGGACATGCTCTCTCAGTACTTAAAGAATGTGAACTCCAGGCATTTGATGGGTAAGTTGGTTACTAACGTTCATTGTTACTAAACCTCATCACATTAGTTATTTGTATTCCATTCAAAATTATACTAGTAGGTATTTAATGAATTACTCTGTTTCACATATATATTAAGCCTGAGAAAATCAGTTCTCATTAGATGCTTTGTTTTTTATTACTTACTGAGAATAGGTATGTATTTTAGATACATAAATAATAGTAAAAAACGTAAAGCTTAATATGCTTCATGAAAATTTCAGTCTCTGTATTTGCAAGAATGGCACAAGTGTGTGGTATTTCACTCTATCCATTGAAATGGTTCTTAAGGAGAACTTTTATCTAAAAGTAACTTCAAAGTTTTTTCCATTAAAAAAAGAAATCAAACTTACTTGAATCAAGAGTGAATATGCTTGTTCAATCATTTTTAAAGACCTTGCTAAGTTGATTAATCCCACAATCTTTGGTATTTTTACATTAATCATTCAATAATAAGATTCAGTAATATAGTTTTGCATACTGTGGAGGTCTTACAGCATTCTTACAACTCTTACTAGAATATGCAGTGAGCCATACAAGAAGGCTTAAATTGTGTTTTATAGTCTAATCAATTTCTATTAGCTCTACAGATGCACAGAGTCAGGTGAGAAAATACATCTGAAAATGTATGCGTGTGTGTCAGATCCTGAGGATAATGTCTTTCCAGTTAAGACATGCCTTCTGGGGTATGAACTGGGGAACCAGTTTGTCCTAGGAAGCAGATATGAAGCCAAAGAAGAAAGCCTGTGTTATATCTACTTGTACAAACACCTTCCACTCTGAGTGGTGTTTGAGTTGTTTCATCTTTGAACGTTGGGTAGAGTCACTGGAGTACTTCTCCTGCAAGATTTCTCTCCAGTAACTGGAACTAAGGGGAAATGAGAACAGAGGAAGCTAGAAGAAAATAACCCTTTAGTCAGTATGATCTAGGATTACTGAGGTGAAAAGATCCTCATCCTGTCTAAATTAAGTGTTGGGTTTTTTTTCTCATGTGAAGATTAAGTAGCTTTTATTATCAGAGTTTATTAGCAAAAATACAATTTCTGAAAGTTTGGAAAATTACTTTTATAACTTCTCAGCTAGTCTGGCCTCCATCTATGTAGTCATTTAAAAAAGCACAGTACAAAAAAAACCATCCTATTGGATAGCTAACTTGGAATGCTTTCTACAGAGACTGATAGACTGAGGTCAGAATTCATATTACGGTAAAGGTCTGATTCTTTGAAAAAGAAAGCTACTAAACAGCACTCATCTCTCGTCTCTATTATCTTTAGAGTTGTTCTTAAGAATAGGAAAAAGATATTTGAAATTGTGGTTTTCTTTTCCAAATTGTTCAAAGGCTTACAACGTACTTTTGATTATGTTCCTCTGAAGTCCTTTGTGACTTCCCTGCTGCTGTCTAGGGTGAGAATTTTTGCCATAGATATAAAAGGCACTCTGATCTGAGGTCCCAAAACCACCTGAGTCTTTCCCAAATAAAATTCTAATGACAATTTTGGTTTATTGAAAATTAAATCATAACATGTTTGGGATCTGGTTTGAATCAAATATTAACTCCACAACAGTGAAATTGTCCTACTTATGAAAAATTACACCTTTAGCAATTCTAGCAGCCACCTGCCATAATGTCTTTTCACTCTGTCAATTAAGTCTTGGAGTTTTACTTGCCTCTTGAGCAACATTGCTTATGACTTGGCAGACTTCAGTTTTTTCCTGATTTGCCCTGGCTTCATGTCCAGCTTTGTTTGTTAGATGCTATATCTGTCTCTTAGTTCCTTGTTTAGAAAATGGAAAACACTTCTGTACAATCTTTTAGATGTGGAAGGCACTGTATGTAGTGGAAAAGGTAAGGTAGTTTTAGTGCTATTTCTACATGGCAGAGTTCTGCCTTGTCTAAACTCCAAAGCCACTGGAGGTGATTTAGGTGTGCACTGAAGGCCATACCTGCATCCATTTAGTCTGCTGCTCTAACTCAGCTCATGCTTTTCAAGTGTTGTCTATTTCAGATTGACTGAAAACCAATTTGAGTAAAAATGTATAAAGGGCAAGACACAACAGGTTTTTATTCATTACAGTAGGTAAGCAGTATAGCAATAAACAATTTCTGATTTTGAATTTCTCTTTAAGTGACTTACGGTTCCTTACATGTTAAACAGTGTATGAAGTAAATTGAAGCTCATGATTTGCGGTGCTAAATTGGAAGTTTGTGTCTCAGTGCTTTCTATAAGCAGTACTGCTATGTTTTAGTTCTTTGTCAAAGCTGTTGGGTTCTAGATATAATTTATTTTCTGTGATTTCTCCAGTTGCCACTTTGTTTTGCAAAATCGTAGGCATATGTCATGTATCTTATACTCCACCTTTTTTGTTATCCACTTTTTTTTACCAACACTGGAAATGTAGGTGCTTATCCAAGTTGGCAGCATGCTATTTTCCCTGCCTTGGGGCCAAGTTTTGTTGACAAATAGAGTGCGTTTGTGATTCTGCTCTCTCAGCTGCATTTTCTTGTTTGTACAGTGACAGAAATACACAATAACTTTCCTAATCAGTATTATGGATGTTGTTTAAAGTAGCCCCAGTTAGTCAAACTTCAGTGAATAGTCCATTAAGAAACTTATGACTGATTGTTAAACAGACGTTGCTTACTCTAAGAAGCCTTCTTCAAGGTCTTAGTCAAATATTATTAGCTTTGGAATCCCTGGTCCCTGGCAGTATCTCTATTTCCAGCCAAAAAGGCAACTCTTGATTAATGCTAAATTAATAAGAAATAAAGTTAGCAGCATTTTTCATTTATTCCTTGGACTCTTCATCTATTTCCAACAACAAACACAGCCCTCCAAAATCAGAATAAAATGTATCTCTTTTCAAAAGTGTTAATAGGCAGAAGACAATCCACGTAAGTACCTCCAGACGTACAATTTATCACATTACAAAGATTAACTGTTTTTGCTGCTGGGACAAACATTTAACCCTTAGGAACAAACCAATATAAACCAAAAATGAGACAAAAGACAGGAGACGAGTCCTGATTGCAAGCTGAAATAAAATGTGCTCCAAATTTTTTCTGTTTATTTGGAATGTGTTTGTTTGTTTGTTTTTAATGTGGACAGTTTTTAGCTAGACAGGAGAAATATTCCTAGAAATCTAGAAATTAAAAAATAGCTAGGAAATAATAGGAACTGAAGTAAAATGTTAAAGGAGCTAAGATAATTTAATTTAAACATTTAATAACATAATGAGTATTTTCTTATAAAGAGTTTACCAGTTTTATCTGGTTGATTTATTTTATGTAATTTCACAACTGCATTCATAGAGATGTATGAAAAAAGATATTTTAAGTAAGTGCTTCCTAAAGTAAATCTGACCTATTGTAGATGCTAGGAGTGTACTATTACTTTTTTGTCATTAAAACAGGTTTATCTTAAAAATGTGTAACTTTCAAACATTACTAATTTGGAGAATCACTTTAATAGTTACTTAAATAAACAAAAACAGAAAGAAAGAAAAAAAGTTGTTTGCTGTAGCAGAGCTTTTACAGATAAATGCATTCTTCTCTATAGCCACAGCAGGTGGGAGTTTAATTACATGCTCCAGAAGCAGTGATTAAGTACCTTCATGCAAAGGATTGCTGGCACTAGGGTTTTACACCTTTCTAAATCCCTCAGCTGCCTGCATAGTGTGTGAAAGTAGCTGGTTTTGAGTATTTTTCATTTTATTGTAGTAATTGGTGAGTTATTCGAAGGGCAATTAAAAAGCATTGGAATGCTTGTGTGGGTCAGTGTTGAAAGATTTAAAGAACTTTTCCACTGAAGCACTTGAGCATGTGCTTAACTCTTCCATCTGATTTGGTTCACGTACATAATGTGATAACGTAAGAAATACTTTGTAAGTTTGTTAAATATATTTATTCCTACTCAGATACAAGAAAGCAGAAATAAGTATGCCTATATATTTTTAGTTAATATTCACTGATTTGACAATGAATGCCTAGCTTGTTCTTAAAAAGTGGTTTTTAGCTATTTGAAATATCATTATGCAGATGGTGTGTGATAGCTGTCTTTCACTTGTTTCCTCAGCTATGGAAGGGTTTATTTTGAACTGTTTAGCATTTTTGTTTTGTAATAGGGTAGTTTGTGTCGGTGGAGATGGATCTGTCAGTGAAGTTGCTCATGGTCTACTACTTAAAGCCCAGATAGATGCTGGAAAAGACACAGAATATGTATTAGCGCCTGTCAGAGCACCAGTTCCTCTCGGAGTAATACCAGCAGGTGAGACTAAAAGGTATTGTTACATTTTGTAAGTCAGCTGTTTGAAGTCCCTCTGGCATGTTTTACAGTTTTGGCAGTTCTTGGTGCTAAAGCTTCAGTTACTTAAGGGAGTTATTGAATAAATAACCTAAATGAGTGATTTAGATTGATTACAAATGACTAGATTTTAAATCATTATGATAATTTATAGTAATGGCACAGATGAGCTCTTTGCCTAAAGGAAGATGCTTGGGAAGAAGAAAATGAAAATTATTTTCTGTTGATCCATGCAAAGACCAAGTTTTGCCTTTATTTGCTGCCAGAAATGCTACCAAAGGACAACACTATTTTCTAGAATTTCCTTAATATGAGCCATGCTGTTTTACTTCTCTCTCCTGTTTCCTTTGCATGTTTATAAATTTGTAAAGGGTGAGTGTCAGGAGGAAGGAGCCAGGCTTCCTTCTCAGTGATAGCCAATGACAGAGCAAGGGACAATGGGTGCAAGCTGGAGCATAGGAGGTTCAACCTGAACATGGGGAAAAACGTTTTTACTGTAAGGGTTACGGAGCACTGAACCAGGCTGCCCAGAGAGGTTGTGGAGTCTCCTTCTCTGGAGACATTCAAAACCCGCCTGGATGCGTTCCTGTGTGACCTGGTCTAGGTGATCCTGCTCTGGCAACGGGGTTGGACTGGATGATCTTTCGAGGTCCCTTCCAACTCCTAATATTCTATGATTCTGTGATAGTCACACTTGGATTCATGCTTAGAGTCTATTTTTAAATGATGTCCCAGGAATACATTTTATGGTTTATAATTAAAAAAAAATGATACTGCGCATACAAAACTACTTTATCTCTGCTTTACTTCTTCAGACCTGAACATGTATGCACCTCTCATGAAAAATCCTCTTGCACCTTTCCTAACTTGTACTTGCACCTTGTGGTGGGTTTTTTGTTTTCTGGCCTGTTGGTTTTAGAAGAGAGAGGGATGTCCCTTCTCCTCCCAGTTTTTCTATTTGCCCTTCTTGGAGTATAACTTGAGCCAGGCAGGGATAAAAAGTGGATGGATATTTTTACATGGGTGCTATCCTCCAATGTGGATATTGATGTGACTTTTTCTAAGTTGTTCTTAATTTCAGGCTGCAGAAAATTTCTAAATTTCTGCAGCCAGCTGAAGAGCAAATGGTACGTTTCAGTTTTCTACAAAAAAAAGGGAGTGAGTTGCTTCTGAACTGAGCTAGCAGGTGTTATTTGCTCTCTAGCACTTGACTCCATGCTGTTTGGGTGTGCTTAGGTCACTCTGCCTCATAATTAGTGCTTACTCCCTTAAGTTTTAGGCAAATATGTCATGATCAAAGAGGATATGTAAACTCAAAATAATGCTGTAGGGTTTGTTACACAGGTTGCCATAGACTTTGTTAAATGAGGATGAGAACAATTATGATGATGATAGTTTGAGAAACTCCTTAATAGTTTCTTAAAATTAATCTATAGCTTATTTTATTTGCTTATTATTGTTATTCCAAAAAGTAGTCAGTTAGGAAACATACAGTTATGATACTTGTGTATGTGAAGAAGATGTAACTCGGTGGTCAATTATTTTTTTCCCTTCCCAGAAATCCATTGTACCAAATTATTACGATTTTCCAGCCAAGTAAGAATAGAAGCTGTATTCCAGGACAGCATTATTTGAGTGGCTTGAAAACTGGTTTTAGCCTCTGCTATAAGTAGCTAAGACAGCATTTTGAAGTTTCAGGCAACTTCATGAAAAGGAGCTGCTCTTGAGACAGTTTATCTCCTGAAGAGAGAGGTCCAGAGGGGAGTGTGTTTTTACTAGAATACTCTACTGAGATGCCTTATTCTGGTCCAAATCAGATGGATGAGATGTGAGGAAGCCTGCAGTTGTACTGCTGGCCATTAGCAAGAGTGTTTGTTGCTATGGGAACTACTGCTAAGAAACTGTGCAGAGGGGGAATGGGAGAAAGGGGAGGGGGAAACTGGAAGGACATTAAAAAAAGCTATCCAGTTGTTACAGAACAAGAGGCAATCTACATCTGATAGCTGTGAACCTTTGTCCTAAATGGTTCATTTAAATAAATTCATGATTTCCAATTAATTCGGAAAATAAAATATTACTGAGGGACTGTTAATTTCCGTGATAATTCCAGGCAAAGAACCAAAATGTTGGTGTAGTTTTCACCAGAATTTTAGCTATGCTTGACTAGGAAGTCATTACTTCACATTTATCTGTTTGGATGGGGGAGGCATTAACAGCCTTATGAATATTCATGCTGTCTGGTTAATTAAGTTAATTGTACTGCAGAAGTCCTTGCACTTCCAAGGACAATTTTTTTCTCTACAGTTTGTTTGGTACCTTCATCAGTTATGCTTACATGATCTGCAGATACTTTGTCCTTACTGTGACGCTTTTGCACATTTCCTAGGAAGGAGGTTGTAGGAAGTTGTTTGTGATATCAGGAAAATGGATTAATATTTTGAACTGAATTTTATTTTTGGAATAATCTTCTTTGTTTCTGTTTTTAAGAAATGTTGGTGACAGAGATGCTGGAATTGTGCAAATGAAACCTTTTTACAGTAAATTGAGTAGCCGGAGTAAGATCTAAAATGTGACTGTTAGTAATCTGTGAGGGGTGCAAGCCCATACATGAGCATCAAAGAACATTATTAGTCTCTGAACTAATACGGTAATGTTCAGGGGAACCATCTTGTTATTGGTGAATAATATTCTGAGCTTACGTAGAGAAGAAAATGATGACTTGGGAAGATGAATAACGACATTAAAACCATCATAATTGAATCACCACTGAAATCAGCAAAGGTTGTATTATAACATTTTTTGTATGATAGCTTTCATTGGTTTTCCTCTGTTTATAAGCTTGCTTTTTTTATATTTGTGGCATCCTGCTTGCATAGGACGTAGGTAATAAGACACGTTATTCAGTCACTGCTGTAGGCATGTATTAACAGGTTGTTTTAGAGAAGTGGATGGCCCTTGCTACTGCAAAACTGCTCTTGTTCTGGATCTGGCACTTGTGGAAGGGCAGATGCAGTACTTGTGTTTTTGAACACAGACAGAACTTGGTTTATTTTTCCAGGAGTCATGAAAGGGTGGGGTTTTGCCTTGTTTACTTCTGCAAACGTTAATGAGCTCCACAGATTCAAGGGAAGGATGAAATTACTTATATCTATCCTGTTTATTAGGAATGAGATTTAGCTCTCATTCAAGTCAGTATAAAGATTGGTATTGACTTCAGCTGTGGTCATTTGTTATCTAGCTGCCATCTGTATTAATAAATTACTCTTACTTAAGTCAGGGATCCCAATTTTAAGACATACCAAGCCCGATTTTCAGTAGTATATTCCGCCTTGTGTTCTTTTATTACCTTGATCTTCAGTGACAAGTAAAACTATTTTTTTTCAGAATAACAACTTCCCTGCTGTCAGTTTACAGGAAATAAACACTATTTGCATGACTTGTAATGATCTGCTGCTTGTGTGTGATTTCCTTTATTTTGGAGAGGTACCCATAAAAGCTGATAAGAGTTGCGAGAGTTTGAAGGAAATATTTGAGTATTTTTGAGCTACTTCTTTAGGTAGCTTCACTGGCTAAGCAGAATTAGTTGGATCTAGAGGTTAAAACTCATAAGTCATTCAAACATGAAATTGTGTTAGGCATATACTTGTATTATGCTGTGAAGAATTGCTTTTTAGGTCAAACCAAATTTTTTTTTTGTTCCTGAATTTCCCTTATAGAACAGCATTTTATCTTCACTGAATTGCAAAACTCACTGTTTTGCATAGTAAATGATATCTAGAGCTACAATTTTGCCTTTTGTTTTTATGGGTATTGTACAGAAAGGATAGTTCAAATTACTTTTAGCTCAGTTTTTGGATATCAATTATTAGGTATAAATTATTGACATTTTAATAGTCTTAATAAACTGGACTTCCCGTTAATGTATCTAGAGACATAACCTTTTGGGAGAAAAAAAATGAAGACTTCTGTTTAGCTTTTGAAGTAGTCAGTTTATTCTTCTTTCAAATTCTTTCTTTTATAATCTCAATTGGCTGGATTTATTTTTTTATTTTTTTTTAGGAAAAAGAGAAATTAATAGTATAGTCACTTATAAAATTCTGAGAAATATGTGAATGGAATTACATTTATTTTTGAATTGTTCAAAGAATAAAACTACATAAACTGATTTCTTCCATGTACCACTGGAGATGTAAACTTCAAAGAATGTTTTATATCTGTTACCTTAATAGATGTACCTCATTTATTTCCTTCACACAGTAGGAACCCTGAAAGCCTTACTCAGAGCTTCTCTCTCTGACGTTACGAAGGCTTTCCATGAGGTTCTGAACATTCCAAATTACTTTCAGAGGCTAAGGTGCTCTAAGGACGTAACAGGTGCTCTGTGAGATACTGAGATACCATTTCCAGTTATTTTACAAATTCTTATTCAGAGAAACTATTAAAAAAAATGAAGCATACACTCCTGAATACAAATGACAAGATGCCTTTAGCGCTTTATAATTATGTACATCAGTCTTTCAAAATTTAGTATTTTTTTCTACCACTAATCTTACATGAAAGATAGCAGAGTTTTCGGACGAACATATTTTTTCAGTCTGGTATATGATGCTTTTAAAGTGCTTATTTAAATACAGAGTGCCTTTTGTTTGAAATCTGATAGTCTTTCCCTTTCCTCTCTTCTCTCCCTTAGTTTTGAAAGGCAAGTTTAAATGCTTCCGTAAAACTTAAGGCAAATTTAGCATCCAGAATTGTCTAATTGCTGCTGAGCCATATTACATTTCCAAATAATTTTCTTGTTGTTTGAATTATTTAAGTAAACTCATCCATTTATGGAATGTTAGTTCTAAATTGTTCTTTTTTATTTTTTGTTATTGTAATGAATCTGTTATTGAATTATTCATCCCTTAATCAGTGATATGTAGAAGCTCGATTTTCTGCCTGCTTGATGACAGGCCCTGGATCTTTATTTTTGCAGAAGTGACCCTTATGGCCCAGCTTCTTGACTAAGAAATGCTAGAGGTGTGATCAATGGAAAAAATCAACTTGAAATTCTGTTAAAACTGTACCAATTTAGGAAAGAATCAACGATTCCATTCCAGGATTTTAAAATTAAATTGATGTTTAAAAGTCAGCTGATACACAGTATTTTAAGTCCTACATATTAAAGCAGAAGAGCAAAATTCACATATACATCTGTGTTTCTTACACAGGTAAAGTGACTTGATGTATCAATCACCATCAAATATGGGTCTCCAGAGCCATGCTGCTTTTGTTTACAAACTGATAGCTAGTTTTCTACTCTCAATTCCAACTCCATGCTGATGTTCTATTTACCAGCTGATTTACTACTCATTCCCTTGTTTCAGTATGTAGTAATCTCTTCCAGCCAGTGGCTAGTAGTGCAGCTGAATCACAGAATCATAGAATATTAGGAGCTGGAAGGGACCTCGAAAGATCACCCAGTCCAACCCCCCTGCCAGAGCAGGATCACCTTGACCAGGTCGCACAGGAATGCATTCAGATGGGTTTTGAATGTCTCCAGAGAAGGAGACTCCACAACCTCTCTGGACAGCCTGGTCCAGTGCTCTGTCATCCTCACAGTAAAAAAGTTTTTCCTCATGTTCAGGTTGAACCTCCTATGCTCCAGCTTGTTCCCATCTCCCCTTGTCCTGTCATTGGCTATCACCGAGAAGAGCCTGGCTCCTTCCTCCTGACACTCGCCCTTTACAAATTTATAAACATGAATGAGGTTACCCCTCAGTCTCCTCTTTTCCAAGCTAAAGAGACCCAGCTCCCTCAGCCGCTCCTCATAAGGGAGATGCTCCACTCCCTCAATCATCTTTGTGGCTCTGTGCTGGACTCTTTCAAGCAGTTCCCTGTCCTTGAACTGAGGGGCCCAGAACTGGACACAATATTTCAGTTAGGGTATCAAACTGGTCTGCCAATGTCCAGGCAATGATGAAGACAAGTTTGATGGGTCAATTTTAATGCACTCAATGCAAGTCAACAGTTTGTCAGACACAAGTCAAATTCCATGCTGTCTCTGTTTTTCAGTCATTAATGTGTTCTCATATGTAATGCTGATGTGTAGTAATTAGTTTTATTCAGTGTTGTTTCTAAGAATCTAAAATGTAGCCTGCAAGAGGCACAGGAGCTATCTTAGACTAGATCTAGTAGAAGTTTCTCTGAGAAACATACAGCTTTACACTGGCTGGGTATTATATTATTTTTCCACCTTAAAAATATTCTCCAAATAGAACTTCTTAATTAATTTGCCTTCTAGTACATTTCCTCAGTACAGCACTGAGGTACAGAAGTAATTTTTAAGGAGACAGTTAAAAAAAGAAGGCAATTTTGCAAAGGTGGTTTTGTTGTTTGGTTTTTTTTCTGCCCCTTCTTGGTTTTTATGGCACTTAAGAATGAATTTGCAGAGAAGATTTTATAGACCTCTGGAAGTTTTAACAGTTTTAATTTGTAGCATTCAACATTTCTGTGGTTACCAAGACTAAGTAATTTGTGCGGAGGCTTTCCTTTTTTGAAAATGCAGTAAATGTCTCAGTTTCTTCATTTAAAAAAATGTTGTGTATATTTTTTTCTTGCTATTCTGTATCTCTCTCATTTTTACAATGGTTTGTGTTCACTTTTACAGGTACTACTAATATTTTGGCCCATACTCTCTATGGTATTAAGCATGTGGTGACTGCAACGTTGCACATTGTAATGGGTAAATATTTTTACATATGTTATTAGATTTTAAATAATAAAGCAACATTTAGAAGTTTGCCATAATGCTATATCACTTAAACTATATTGTAAGACTTTTAAGCCCAAATGATTCTGGGGTTGAACCAGATGATCTTTAAGGTCCCTTCCAACCTAAACCATTCTATGATTCTGTACTGGAAAGGTTATGATTCTTTGCATATAGCTTAGTAGCAAAGGCTGTGGACCTCATCTTCTGGTAACTAAAATCTGCCATGGAATAATGTCTGATTTTGGCACTTATGTCCTATTACTAATGTTCTTTTAATGCAAAAAGTAACCTTTTCCAGAATTCATTGTGTGGATAGTGCTACTCTGTGTGTGTTATTATGCAATGATTGCTTGCATAATCACTTGATTATTTTAATTTAATGTACCCACTGGAGACAATAGGAAAATATACAATACTTTCAGCTTGAGAAAGTGGTTAGGATTGGACTTTTAAGGAAAGTATTGTCATATTTCTGAGAAAGTATCATTCATCTTTTTAGCTCTGTGTGCATTTCTTTTAAATACTAACAGTTTCTATAAGAAAGCCTTTTTAGTAGAAAAAACTGTATCACTTGCCATTTGGTTTGCACAATAAATAGGTTTTTGCATGTAAAAAGTAATTATGTTAAAAGTAGAAACTAGGTTGCTAATGCCAACCTTATTTTCAGGTCTTAGCGAACAGCAAATACTTAGTCGAGCAATATTAATATTCCTCTCAAAGCAGTTTTTCTTTTGGACACTTTTTATTTTTTTTCTCTCCAAAAAAGAAAAACAGAGAATGGGGAAGGTCCATCTTGGCTATGTATTTTCTAGACCTTGCAGTCAGCAATGGAAGAGTCTTTGCTTTATTTCTTAGATAGTAATATACAAGCCTTTATAGGCAAAATCTAAAACTGTAGTAGTTGAAATAGTTGAATCTTTGCTATAACTTTTTTAACATTTTGAAGTATCTGAACATTATTCTCTGAAACTACTTATATCTAGATTGCTTCTGGTTTCCATTAGTAAAACTTGACTTCTTAAAGAGAGAGGGGCTGGAGTTTTTTTCTGCAGCTAAATTAGGTGAAAAATAAATGGTAAGTTGTATTCCTTTTGAAATACAGATGCCTTTTGTAATTTCTTATCTTTATCTTTGAAATTTCAGGACATATTCAAGCAGTAGATGTCTGTACTTTCAGTACTCCAAGCAAGCTGTTGCGGTTTGGGTTCTCAGCTATGTTTGGGTTTGGTGCAAGAACACTAGCTCTGGCTGAAAAACACCGTTGGATGCCCTCCAATCAGCGGAAGGACTTTGCTTTTATGAAAACGCTGGCAGATCTCAAGTATGCCATGAGCTGTCATTTTTCTAGTATTTCTCATTTTCTTGAGGAAAATGCAATAATTAATGTGGTAAAAATATACACAACAGTAGTTTAGCTATCTTGACTTCTTAATTGCAGACAGATTTAACTCAGATGTGATGTATATCCCTCTTACAAGTTAAAGAGGAGATAAATTCCATATATTCAGCATCTGCTTAACATAATCTTAACTTGGATAAAGTCAGTCCAGCAGTCAGAATATTGATTTACATGATAGTAAATATCAATACTTTTCCAGGCCAGAGGAATGTGAATTGTCATTTCTACCTCTACAAATTCCACAGGAAGACTCTCATGAGATTGGCAAGTAAGTAAAATTGAGTCAAATGATACCAAAGATACAAAAATTTGAAGAGAAAATTGTACAAATTCTTAATTTTGTTCAGAGTTGATCATCAGGTAAAACAATCTTGAAAAAATTTGACTACTGCAGACTTTTACACTTTGTAAAACACTCCCCATAGACTATAGATGACTTGTTACAAAGCAGTCTCCCACTCAGTATCGGTTTGTTCAGTTCTGTTCATCCTTTCTTCCATTGAGATCTTACTTTTTTTCTAAAGTAGATACTGTTTAAGTGTGCTAAAATGTCTTTATATTATTTTACCTACATGTTTCTACCCTTTTAGAAAGAAGAAAGAGAAAATTAAAAAAAAGGGTGAGTTTTTGCTTCTATGATTATTTAAAAGTGAACTGTAGCTGGTTAAACTAGAGTAATATAGAATTACTCTGTTATATTTAGGTAGCAAGGATCAATGGCACGAAATTCAGGGTCACTTCCTGAATGTGAGCATTATGGCAATCCCTTGTCTGTGTTCAATGGCACCAAGAGGCTTGGCACCTAATACAAGGTCAGTAGGGGTTTAGAGAATTAGTCATGTCTATAAATTCTGACATCTTACCTTAAGACCTTGGCTTTTCTGAGAATATGAGCCTATGTTTAGGTAGTCTAGTCCCTCTGGAATGGGGGAGGGAGCATGGACTGCAGCAGACTTGATAATCCCAGGAATTGTAATCAGTTTTTGGATCAGGCAAATAAGGTCAAGCAGTCTAACTAGAATAATGAGTGGATAATTGCTGTGATTAAATTAGTTGGCAAGTCTGTCTTAAGTAGTAGTCATCGAGCAGTCATATGTCATAGGATTTGGCTACATGTAGACACTTCATTCGTGGAATTTTTTTTCTTTTTTTTTTTTTCCAAATATAAAGATGCCCCCTTAACTTCTGCTTTACAGCCAGCAAAAATGAAGTATGAATCTTTCTCCTGTCATGAAGAACTGAAATTCACACTTCTGTCTTTCCTGCCATCCCCACACCCTACTCTCCCTTCAACTTGGGAAATACAGCTTCTACATGTAGGGTTTTGGGAAACAAATGAGTTTGTAATCTGGTTGTTGGCATTGACTCATTTTGCCTTTAGCACATCGTTGTTGAGAGCATGCTTTGTGGTGATAAAAAGTTATTAGGTGATAAATATTTGTACTTGATGTATCCAGTTGATTAAGAAGAATAGCAAGTACAAACTTTCTAGTTGTACATGAAATACAACATGGTCCCTCAAAAAAGAATGAATAAACTCATGTGTGCAACTATTAAAAAACCCCCAGTACTCAGGGAAGTCTCTGGAATGAGTCTGTTTTGTTTCATTTCATTACTATTAGGTAGAAATATATGTGCCTTAGAATTGATCAGATATTTTTCTTCAAAATTACTGGCTGATCTGGTAGAATTTGACTTCTTGGAAACAATGTAGAAACAAATTATTTTGATGAAAGTCTTATTAAGACGTTTTCTTTGGTACAGAAGTTCTGCTAAGCCTCATACACTTCAAGGTAGTGCCCTATCCCATTTAGGAACTTACTGTTCAGCATTTAGTGTGTTATATAACCATCAGTAGCAAAATTCTGATAAGAATTGAAGAAATTAGTCTGTCTTAGCTTTGCTTTCTCTTTCCATCTGTTCTGGCACCTGTTTTTCAGTAACAGGGAATTTTATGACAACTCCATGCAATTATTGCAGGTTTGAATGAGCCTGTTTCTCCTACAGCGTAATTGCTCAGTGGATCTCCCTATCCTTTCATACAAGGACATCCTTTTTTTACCCTCTGTTTTTAAAAATAATCTTGGCCTGCAGTCAGCTAGTAGGGTAGGAAGAATAGACTCTTCAGACAGGTGGTTTGTTTCTCATAGAAAGAAACATCTTGACTGTAAGGTTTCTCAACACAGGATACCTAAATGTTGCACTAATTTTTAGAGACTCATGACCCACTATGGAAGTGTCAGCTAAACTCAGCAAGGTTTCCTCACTCTGTCCTATTTTTCCCAAGAGCTTTTTGCCATGTGCAGACATTTGAAGTGGAATGAAAGCTTTGACTGAGGGCTACAAAGATGGTCAAAGAGCTGGAGCACTTCTTCTTCTACGAAGACAGGCCCAGTCAGCATGGGTTCAGGAAGG